AGTCTGAGAACTTTGGGTTTAAATGTCTCTCAGCCACAACACTTAAATACCTTCAAAAGACAATTGATGTTACATTTACATAACAGGTTTAATGCGGTCTATGACACCGATGCTGCATGCAGCTGGATATCTTTTTGCAGATGTACGACCTGTATGGCCACAAGGCCGCGATAACTGCCCTATAGTTGTCACTATATTATCATATATCTTAAATATGTTATTGTATGTTGTCACTTAAATTGTCTATTTTGTATTATTACTGTTTTATAATGTATTTTGTATGTGGAGAGACAACTGGCAGAGGTGCATATATGCACCTGTTTTGTCTCTCCTCCATGCTACTTCATGTTGCATTGGAAAGTCAAATAAATAAATAAGACTCCTTTCCCTGATAAGTTCTTAGCAATTTCCGTTGCCCCTCCCATCCAAGTATTGCCTTATACCTCCAGTATATGGAGACAGGAATAAAAGCTATAATCAGATAATTCCTCCGTAAACATCACCTTAATGGCCCCAAAACATCGCGGATAAGTACTGTGTTCTGCTACCGTAAGGTCATTGTGGGGTCGTGTGGCGTAGTGCGTGGGGGCGTAGTGGCAGAGTGCGCGACTCGGAACTTAAGAGTCCCGGGTTCGAGTCCTGACATGCCACCGATCTTGTGCCCTTGGGAAAGGCACTTTACACGACTTTCCTCACTCAGCTCAGGTGTAAATGAGTATTGTCCTGTCACGTATTTGTCCCCTGTGTTGGTGGTGGCATTAATATAAGTTGAAAAACTTGAGTGTGTCGTCACCACGTCTGGTGATTACATGTTGGAATAAAAAAAAAAAGGTCATTCACCTTTGGGCAATGACATGTGAGTGACCGACTGGCATGCCGGGAAAGTACCAAACTTCATATTAAAACACATCGTATCAACGTTTGTTCATATCATATTCAGATGCAAACCGTTTTTTTTTAATTGAAAATCTTAGAGAGCATTTTCAAATCAATGGACCCACGTATCTCTGCCGATATATAACCACGTAACACACCAGCTTCGCAGGCACGCGGCGCGGCTTGTTACACCTAACCTCTGAACATCGATGACTTTAAACATTGTTTAAAGCTATCTATTGAAATGACGATGCATGCCCCTACTGTACTTGGTGACAGCGAGTGCCACTCTGTGATAGTTTCTACGGAAGAATGAGTTTTTGAACACCTCAATCCTTGGTTGCTAATTCTGGTACTTGAAGGTATGACCGAGATTATTTCTTGTTCTTTTTTAGCTGGTATTAGGTGTCTTTACTACTAACTTGCAAATGTAGGTTAGTACATACTATACATCTACTAGTTTATTAGTCATTTTGTACAATCGTAGTTACTGCAATAGTAACACACGGCTCGGTTTGTGTGTAAACAGCAAATTAATCTTATCACGATCGATCTCTTGTACATCAGAGTATAAATATGAAAGAAAATTCCAGATTGTTTTCCGCCATTTGAACTGCTCCACCCTAACCATTAGTCCACCATTGTTTATGCTAAATCGTGCGAAACAAATAGATTTCTACCACTCGCAAAAAGATATCTTGGCGGGCAGACTCTTTGAAAAAAACGGAATAAAAACAGTTCACGGGCGAATTTAAACAGTCTGGTAACAATTTGATTGAAATAAAAACATCTGGCAGGGTTTTATAAGTACAAAGGCAACAAACAAGTGCGTAGTAATTGGTGCATTGTGAGCGAGGGGGACAAAATGGCGGCGGGCTCATGAATATGCAAATTTCCTCCGGGCGCCCCCGTGCGATCGTCTTTTCACGTCCCGTTGTTGATGCTAGATGCAAATCAGACAAACTCCGCTGTTTTTATCTGTTCTTGGATCTGTGGTAAATTTGTAGTACTAATAGCTCTGAGCTAAAATTAAAGGAGAAAAATAACGCAGGATTCCAGTTAATATTTGGTTAATCGTAAAGTGGTAGTGGACTTCGTCTTTTCTTGCTCATCGGAACTTTTCTTTGTGTTGATTCTAGAGTTTGTATAAGAAATTTTATTACAAGGTGCGAACTGGTCAAAAACAAACACCCATGTTTTCACAACTAAAACAGAGGACTCCATTGCAAGGACAAAATGTGATTTTTAAGTTTCACATAAAAGTTTTCCAAGTTTCACATAAAAGAAAGAAATGTCAAAATCACGATAGTTAAATGAAGATATTTCTCAAAAATTCTTGAACATCGTAGTATTTCTCGTTGGCGGAAATGGAAGTATTTGGGAACTCATGAATTTTCAAACTAATTACCAAGGGACCAATCAGAAAGCGGCATGACCAGTTCTATTGTGATGTATATGACGTCTGTCCAAGACCCAAGCCAGGGAGTTTATGTGGCAATCAATCGGCCAATGTCGCTCCAACAGTCCCTCGAACTTTGCTGTCAGTTGGGCAGTTTTTATACATAGGACGCAGGTCGTCGGTAGACAAGTACGTTTTGGAGCTCTTATTCTAGAAGTAGGAGTTTTAGAGTGTAGTTTTTATTTTTCGTACGTGAACAATTTGAGCGATGCAGCAAAGCTGTGCACCAGGTGAACCGGGATTTCATACCTACGGAACAGACACGAGTCTGGACGGGGGAGGGCCTGCTACAGGGCCGACCAGGATGGACGCAGGCGACGACGACAGCCCCGGTAACGCCGACACCTTCCAGCCGAGCGGCCTCGGCCTGCCATACGGCATGACAGGAGGCTACACCCCGCCGGATAGCAACAGCTCCCGCTCTTCCCCAGGCGACGGGGTGGACGCGGAACTCTCTCGGTACAACTCGCAGGTCCCTCCCGACTATCCTCTAGGACCCTACCCAGGCGCTAACCCCGAGAACGCGTACTCCATCACAAGCATGACGCCCTCCCCTCACCCCTACCCAAACGGATACGAACAACCGCAGATGTACGGGCAACAGCCGCCGGGTTACTTCGCCCCGATTACCGACTCGGGTCCTCCCCAGGCCCCTAACGGACAGTACCCGCAGGGTTACAACGGGAACTACCCCTACCCGGGCGGCGGGTCGATGTACGGTTACCCCCCGGGCCCTCCCCCTCCCCCCGCCAAACTCAGCGTCTTTCTCACCAATCGGGATCTCTGGGTCAAGTTTCACCAACATGAGACGGAAATGATCATCACCAAACAGGGCAGGTAAGGAAAACATTTTTACAACTATAAAATCAGGTATATTTTCTGTTCCATCAAAGACGTAACACGTTGTTACCAAACGTTTTCTCCTTTTTAGGAATTTGCCTATACATGTTTACTAGACTCCATTTTTTTGCTTTCCCAGATGGGACGATGTTAGTACTTTGTCACTATCAGTACAATTTTGACGAGTTATTTTTATTGTCCATGCTATGAACATTTTCGTAAGTTAAAACCCTTTGTACTTCTGCGCGAGTCTTGTGCATAGTTTATTTTTTAGTTGTCTTGCTGTCGCACTACCAATGTTATAAAAGTCTATTCGCAGCGAGCTTCGCGCTAAAACGTTTCAGTTCCAAACTCAAAGAAATCGCACCTCGTTAAAATGATATCCCAAACAAACGGTTTATAACACCAGCAATGTTTATCTTCGTATTGAGTTTTAGCAGGTTTCGTTACAGAAGCGTTCGCGACTTCCTGGCTTGTTTTTCAGACCGGGGCCAAAAGGTGTCAAACAGACAATGAAACTTTCATCTGTTTTAGACACCTGATTCTAGAGTAATCCTCAATTAGCAATGGCCTCGTATACTAGTAAGCGCTTTATCTTCACATTTTTGTGGCATACCATACTGCCATATCATCATAATTATAATAATTATGATGATATGGCAGTATGGTATAAACCCAAACCTCTGCTTAGAGAGTAATAATATTACTCTTTAAGCAGAGGTTTCATACCATACTGCCGTATCACCATAATTATTATAATTATGATTATATGGCAGTATGGTATGCCACAAAAATGGTATAAACACAGTATGGTATAAACCCAAACCTCTGCTTAGAGAGTAATAATATTACTCTCTAAGCAGAGGTTTCATACCATACTGCCATATCATCATGATTATAATAATTATGATGATATGGCAGTATGGTATGAACCCAAACCTCTGCTTACAGAGTAATAATATTAAAAACAAAACTCTGCTTAGAGAGTACATATACATATTATGCTCTCAAATTTCCAACTATTTTAACTACTATAAAGAGAATAGCGGCCAAATAAAAAAAATATTCGCAAATTATGTTTCTTGGTACAAGCAATCTTCTGGTATAACACTTCTCACAAAAAGTACCAAGGAAGGCCCATTTCTCCTTATTCATACATATGGCCCAAAATGTGCCGAACTTATAAAACAGGTAGCCCGAAATGCGGTATAAATGCACATCTGAGTTTTCGCCATTGCAGTTGTATTATTTGTCTAAAGAACTGTTACTGCACAGACAAAGTTGTACACTGGAATTTAAAACTCAGATGTGTATTACCATCGCGTCTAGAACTACAAGATGTCTGCTTGCCTTGTAGACATCTTGAGATAATTGTAACGCAAGTTATGCAACGTATTCAAATATAACGTTAAGGCCTTTTAAAAATCCATACATTTTGGTCTAAAACTTGAAACAGTCACTTGTTACAAATCTGTGATGAGCAACGAAGGAGGTTAAATTTTCGGCCATGTTCAATTTAGACAGTCTTGATTACCTTTCAGACGTTGTTTTAATAATGATTAAGAAAGTGGAATTAGTTGTATTTGGAAGTCCTGGTGTTTTCTTTTGGTATGTTTTTCTTGCTTTCGTAATGCACAGATCGCGACGGGAGAGTTAGGTGTGTGTTTCTTGGAATCATGTCTGTGAGCACGTCATCTCATGAATATGCATATGTTATTTTTGGAACTGATTACGACTGACCATCGATTGTACGTCATAGCTTTTTGTGTCTGTAAAATTGTTGAAGTGATGCCTTCCCAAAGTTGAAACTATGATATGTACTTCTTATCCATGATAGGAAGCTGAGATTTGAATACTATATATTGAATATTATTATTTTTTCACAAAAACGGAATTTTGAGACTGTCTAAACTGTACAAATTTGTGACAAAGTTTGCTTCCATCAAGGAGGGTCAAGAATCTACGTGCTTACATAAATTACCAAGGTAGATAGAAAAAAATGGACCCAATACTATATTTGAGGGGGTCTAACTAGATGGATAGATTTTATTCGTCATTTTTACATCAAAAAAATGCAAAACCAGTCCATTTTGAACAACACACATCATCTATTTTCAACAGAAAGCTTTGTATTTCTGAGTTATAGAAACAATGCATTTGTTGAGCTCGAGTTTAAAAATTCTGTCCTCTATGACCAAAAAAGACAAAAAATGATACTAGTAATATCTTCTGGGTTTCAATACCAACTTAGGGGCAAAAAAATCTCTGAAACTGTGAAAGCTTTGCACCTAACCTAAATGTAAGTAATTTTCAGGACAGATCACTTAGACCCCACCACGAAAGAAAATAAATAGAGTCGGCCACAAAAATTGAAAAAATCAGACAGTTGGATTTTTAATCAAAGTTCAGGGCACCAAACATGTCAGCTTTCAATTAACAAACGGCAGCTAAAATCGTCTGTGAGACCGAAACGGTTAATTGATGGGATCGGTTCTTTGTTCTTTGCCTGCTAGCGATTGGTCGCGAACAAAGCCGCGATTTGCATATCTGTGAGCGCGCCAAACGTGCATGTGAGTCACGGTCAATTGGAGAATACTCGGTATTGTCGCGCAGTGTCAACAGTACGGGCGTCATGCGGAGTACATCCTGTCGTTTAGAGATGCCCAAATAAGGCCAAAGAAAGAAAGTTTTATGGATGACATCAGCGCGCGCGTAAATTTTCGCATGGTTTTGGAAAAAAAATTGTTTCCCAATGACAGCGGTCAACTGTACTCAACATGCCGAAAATGGGCAAACGGATGCCTGTTGACATGCCAGAACGTTGATGGCAGATAAATACATATAAAGAGAGGAGGCAAGACAAGGCCCTGATTTACTGTTTTGTCTTTTATTTTGATGCAGTGATGTACCAGTACTTCATTCCTTTTATATGTGATGCTGGCTGTGTATATGTGATGTTCCCACTGAATCACAACCATTTGAACAATTATTGAAAACTTCTTTTTCAAAGTTGTTCCAGTAAGAAATGGATGTTGTTACAGTAATAGTTGGCAGTAACCCTTATGTTGGCATAAAGTTCAACATTTCACTATGATTACTGCCAACACAGATGAAATTTCATGACAAAGTATTTCTCTGCCCCCAGGCGAATGTTTCCGGTACTACAGTTTGCGATATCCGGTCTGGACCCGCATGCGCAGTACAACGTGTTTGTGGACATGGTGCTGGCAGACGTCAATCACTGGAAGTTCCAGAACGGGAAATGGGTGCCGTGTGGCCGGGCTGACACCAACCCACAAGGTACAGTGTGACTGTTTTTTTATGAAACAAGTTTGAACTGCAATTGCCAGCACAAGCAATTGGACTTACCCGACTGTACAAGCCCAGTCAACTCAACAAATGAGCAAAAATTCAACGAAAACCGTGAAAAATGGGGGCTTCGCACAGACGCAGTAGTGAGTACTACATTCTGCCGACGTGCTGCCATGAAGTTTACCAATTGCTGACGTCACGTATCCGTAAAGTCTCGCGTGAATAGGGTCACGTGTCTGTAGTCGTAACTCTCGCGAGATTACGTTCGGAAGTGTTTGGTCATTACTTTATCCCCATAAAGGCGACATTTGGTTGTTAAAAAATTGATCTCTGTGTGCACTTTGCGTTGAAATAAAGTCTAACATTGTACTACAAAATAAGTGAGCTGTTGTCCTCTTCTGCAATGAAAAGCTGATTATTTTTTTCTGTATTTCAGGAAGCCGGGTTTACGTCCATCCCGAGTCTCCTAACAGCGGAGCACACTGGATGAAACAAGAAGTGGTCTTCAGCAAACTCAAACTCACCAACAACAAAGGCGCCGACAACGGACATGTAAGTTAGCTTGTACCTTAATAAATGGTCTCCTACGAAATTTGTCATTACTTGAAGTATGAAGTAAAAGACAAACTAGAAAGGTAACATTTGCCAAGCAAATGCATAATGTTTACCTTCGCATATGGTCTTTTCTCACGGTTAATTCTTACTCGTTCACATTCATATATGATGACATGGTGTGACCCAACACTAGTTACCGTGGTGACAGACGTCTGGTAATTTGGTAATATAAGGTCATTTATAACTTGATCGATTGCCCAGGAAAATGCAAATTCTATAGGGTGTAATTCCGTCGTATTTTGCTAGGTGCATACATGCAAATCATCTAAAGTGCTATTCCGTTGCGTTTCGCTAGGTGGTGCTGAACTCCATGCACAAGTACCAACCCCGCCTGCACATCATCGAGGTGACCAACAGAGGCGGCGGCGGCGAGCGCGTTCTACAGTCCCACAGCTTCCCCGAGACGCAGTTCATCGCAGTTACCGCCTATCAGAACACCGATGTGAGTACTGTCCTTTTTGTTTTAACGCGATATTATGTAAGATTCTCACTATTTTATAAACATGTTGCTTTACACATTGCGCTATAAGCCTACCTGGGTGCATAAGGCTTTCCCAAGTTTTAGTTTCCCAACACAACGAAGATGGCATTTTACTTATGTTTATAAATTACCCCTTTCTTACCATTTCTGTCAGATCACCCAACTGAAGATAGACTACAACCCTTTCGCAAAAGGATTCAGGGACAACTACGATGGGTGAGTACATGTCTATTACCCCTTGTCCTGCTGGCACTTTTTACATAATATTTTCAACTTATTTGATGTTGTAATCAGGTCACAGACCCTTGACTTTTTTTTTGCCCTGCGGTGGCGTATTTACTTGTGCATTTGTTGCGTTTCGCTGCGGTGTGATGCGTTGCACGAGAAATACAACCAAATCGTACATATACAGGACGCTATATACTAGTAGATGGTACTGTATGTGCAATATACATATATATATAAGCTCAGACGATTGTAACATTTTAAAATGTAATGTAAAACTAACCCCTGTAGAATCATACTTAGATATTTCTTGCCCTATTAAAAAGCGTGGCGTTACAATTTCTGCCCTCGTTTTTGCCCAAACAGGCCCACAAACATCCGGCCAAATGGTTATGACGGCAGACCTGCAAGTATAGAGCCGGGAATGCACCCTTCCTTGGGTGCCCCCCTCCCCCTCATGCCGCCCATCTACCCCGTAGGCCCGCCAATCCCTACGCACAGCCGCGGTATCCCTCCGCCGTACGACATGCGGTCTCACTCGTCGGGAGAAAGTAGTTCCTCGCCGGACAGCCCGGAGATGCAGACGAAAGACTTGGGGTCGAAAGACACCGCTTCAGACGTGCCTGGGTCCACTCAAAACGGACAGACAAACGCCACACCGGAGAAGCAGGTGTCTCCAGCCAGAGTGAACAACTCAAATCTACTCCTGACAACAACAGCTCCGTACACAATCGCCAGCGGTCAGCCGCACTACTCCATGGCCATGCACAACAGGGGGATGCCGCCGCAAAACGGGGGTCTACCGCAAAACGGGCAGATGTCGGAAAACAGCAGCATGGCACAGAACGGCCAGTCACCCGGAGAGGAGGCAAGGCCCGAGTGGAGAAGCCCCAGCAAAACCCGTCCGTCTGGGGATGACGACGATCGCGACACGGCGGCAAAACGGCTCAGGACGGAAGAACTCCCGCCAAACTACGACGAAACATCCGGGAACAACTACGACGTCTACAACGACCAATCAGGAGACGCCACGTCATCGTTCGCTCAACCGCCGGAGCACATGCAGTACCATCGCTACAACGGCTACTACTCGGCAAACCCAGAAGACTACGGACACTATTACGATAGAAATAGCATGCAGTACGGCTATTACGGTAACCAGGGGTATCAGGCGTCCGCGCACGCGCAGTTCGTAGACAGTGAGAAGTTTGCACATGCGCATTATAACGGGTCATACCACCAGGCCCAGTACAACGGGGGGTACATGCCAACAAGCACCGCCAGCGCAGAAACAGCATCTGGACATTACTAAAACTTCCACACTGAAGCTAGCAAAATAACACCGAAGATCCGGTTCAAGTACATGTATAATGTGTGATAGTTTTTAGACAGTGCGCCTTCTGTGCTAAGTTTCATTTTGCCTTCATGTTGCATGTGGATTGTAAGATATGTACGTTCTTTAGTATTTATTGTTGCATCGTCCCAAAATGACGCTAAGGCCTTCTGGCGTTTGATGTTTTAGACAGTTAGAAAGCCGTGGTTTAAATGTTAAAACATTGACAGTTTTTATCGTAGAGTAGCTTTGTTGTGTCGAAGATCAGTAGGAGATTAGCTAAGCCACACATCGAACGTGCCTTGAAGGTATGTGATGTCTAAATGAACTTGTACAGCTAGGCAGGAGGTCCCTTGCACCTCGTGCAACACTTTAGGCGCCCCACCTACCAGGACGAGAACGCACTGCAGGAAACATTTGTTGCAACATTTTTACTCCTTACTTACTACTATTAAATATCGTATAATGCTGCTAAAGCTAATGTGTTTTGATATGGAAATTTATACTTTTAAGACAATCAATGCACTAACGTCGTTTTATAGATTATACTCATAAGTTCTCGTTGACGAATTCTAGTAAGTCAAACATTGTTGCATAGTCACGTCTTTTCTGCTAAGACGTATTCTAAAATGTAAGTAATCATGTTATACTTGTTGTTGAATGAAGTAGAAAAGCATTCCTACAACCACAGTCGAATCATTTGTTTCTTTTTGTTTTCTCGTGATACTTAGAACTACGAATAATATTTGGGGTAAAATCTAACAAGTCAAATGGAGAGGGGTGGATTTTGCTCAGCCATAGCCCAAAGTTTCTGTCCATTTATTATGAAATTTCATGTTGGTAGTGATCATATAGTAAAATGTTGAACTTTATTTCAACACAAGGATTACACATAGATCAAATTTTCAAAGACTGATGTCGCCTTCATCAGGATAATTAATTACCAATCTCTCCAAAACGTAATCTCGCGAGAGTTACGGTAACAGACACGTGACCTTATTCAGACGAGTCTTTACGGATACGCGACAGAAGCAATTGATCAAATGCCTGAAAATATCTTTTGAACCTACTTCGAAAAAAGACTAGTACATAATGGGAGGAACATATACTTTATTGAAATATCGCGGGTTACAAAAGTCGTTGATTCTTATGCACATATTGTACACCAGTTATGATCTTTATACATCCGTCCTGTTGCTAAAAGTTTGTACATTTATACCACAAGTTATTACGTCTTCAACAGGCTGAATACACAACGGTCGGTTTTGTAACATGTACAACTTTTTTTAAATGATTAGTTTATTAATGACCTTGATAAATAACGTGTCCAACTAGAAAGGTAACGTTTGTAAAGCAAATGCATAATGTTTACCTTCGCAAATGGTCTGCTCTGTTGACTCTAACTCATTAGTATTATATATGATGACAGAAGTCTAAATCCCTCCTGCTATAAGATTGCAACATGATGTAACCCAACAACAGTTACCATGGTGACAGGCGTCTGGTTCATTGAACTTTTGTGTTTGAAACGGAAGAAGAGGAAACACAGCAAAAACAATATGTTTTCCTTCGGTAAATATGATACATTTTTTTAGCTCAAGTGGAGGCAAACGACTTCTTGGCAGTCACAAAAGGATGTACACTTAGATCATAAGATGGTCTTTTACCTCTAAGCTAAATATGGAGGTGGGAAAATACTTATAAGTAAAGTAAATACTACTGCTATGTTGTATATCTAACAGATGGCCGTATTTGCAACCTTTGGATTCAAAATGCCTACAACTATTAAACAATAAGGGAATTTAAAACAAAAACAAATTAAGTATACTCGTATGATGCGTATCATGCAACACATTTTAATAACTTAAGTATCTCGTCACAATGCTTTTTTCTTCAATTGAAATATTTCAATTTTTGGTGCAAAATGTTACTCAATTCCCCCTTAATGCAAGATAATAAAATTACTGGCATATGCTGCATCTTTTGTGGTCCGGTTCAAACTTACAAAATGCCAACATATTTGAAACAGTTTGAAGACATCTACAGTCGTTTATGACCATCTATTACTTAAAGATTAAAGGTCTACGGAACAATTCCCTTTGTTGCTTTCTACGAATGAATTTGTTGAATGCAAAAGGCAAAATCTAACAGATAATTATTGATTCCACATGAAATGAGACAAGGCAAGGAAATAATACTGGCAACTTCTGTTTATAACAAATTTTAGCATACAGTTGGGCTAACTTTTCTACAATCAAAACTACACATGCTATGTTGTCCTGGTCAGCCGATACTACTACCCATTCTTACGCAACGTACGGCTCGTGACTGTCAATCACAATCAGCAGTTCGACCAATGAGAGGATGAATATTAGCCGTTCGACCAATAAGGGAGAGGCAGCATGCTATTTGCATGTTTACGCTTTGACGGAGGAGGGGGGTATGTAATCGGGCCACCAATATAGAACATATCCGTTACTAGTTATTTTGATTACAATAGACAGTTGAGTTCAAGAACATAAAGATATGATTCAATTTTGTTTGGTGAAGAGTTGTCCTATATGCATAGATGTCACTTTGTCGGATGGAAATTTGATAACAACAGAACAACAGTATCCCAACAGTAAAATTTTGCACGGTACTCTCATATATACATTATTGTAAGCACAGCAATAAACATAGTATGCATTTCTGCTTAAGTTAGGAATTAATGTCACCTTTATGTGTTAGATATCGTTTCATAATTAGCTACATAATCACTCAACAAAGGACACAGCAATAATACGTCATATGTTCATTTTTTGATGGAAAATATTCGGCCTGATTCGAATCCGTCGCCGAACTTCTGAATAACTGTATAAATTTTGTATCTACCAAACAGATAACTTTGGTCGACCTGAACTGTATACTCCACAAATATCACGTTTATCACTCATTTCCTATAGAAACTACTATTCTTTTGTTTGTGGACTTTCCAGTGGCGATCAAATTACAATGTAGTAATCCAGCCACAGTTTCAATGGTGAAAACTTTCTGTTTGCCCTTAGGTTACTATGACGTAAATACTGTCCGCCATATTGGGTGTTTAAACCTGGACGTTGCCCGGTTATGTGCTGTATTTTGGACGTAAATACTGTCCACCATATTATGTGTTTAAACCTGGCAGTTAACTGGGTTGTGTGCTGTATTTTTAACGTTGATACTGTCCGCCATATTGTGTGTTTAAACCTGGAAGTTGCCCAGTTATGTGCTGTATTTTGGACGTGAATACTGTCCGCCATATTGTGTGTTTAAACCTGGACGTTGCCCGGTTTTGTGCTGTATTTTGGACATAAATACTGTCCGCCATATTGGGTGTTTAAACCTGGACGTTGCTCGGTTATTTGGTGTATTTTGGATTTCAGTCACGCAAGACGGAATATACATATCATAGATCATGATTTAGTTAAATAACATGGCATTTGTGACGTCAGGAAAAGACATACTATATCACGTTTTCTTTCTTTGGGCCAGTTATTGAATCAATGACGTCACCGTGTGCCGGTTCAGCAATTCATGGAATTTGTGTGGATTTGTTGTTAAACTTTAGCCTACTTTTTTTCCTTTTTCTTTCAAAATTCCCGGATTCTTTAGTTAGTATACCTATTACGTTTTGCATAAATACAAATCTACAAGTAGTACACCGTGGTTAAGATATAAGACAAAGGCACGCTTTCACTTCGGTGCTAGCTCGACACAGACAACAAACTTTTACTATAATATTATGATAGTAAGTTCTCTTCATCAATAATCATTATTTTTTAATGTAAAGAGCAAAGGAAGCCAATTATAAATAGAGCATCGTCAATGTCTGATTCAGGGCTTATAAAATAATAATCATACTTTGTATTGGCTTAGATACAAAATGAATAGTAATTAGATCAAAAGTTAAGGGAAATAGTTTTCACCTCAAAATTACGTGAATATTCCAAAACATGTGGAGACATTGTATAGTGTACTACAGAAGCCTTTTCATTCATTGTGAAGAAGTACAAAATGCAAACTGCTAAATAGTGAATATCTGAGGGTAGTATATTTAGAAGAAATCAAATACAATAGTCAAAGCAGACGGATTTCGTACACATAGTACGTAGCGTTAACAATTTTTTCAAAATGTTTTCGCAGGACTATTGGGAAGAAATGTTGGTGTTTCGTTTGTTTGCTTTCAGCTGCGGAAAGTGCTTCTTTTCTGGGTGAGAGCATTATGGTTTTGCAATTGAAGGTTAGTATGATTGCAAAGCTGCCGCCCCCGAGTGATCATGCGCTTGGTCTCACCCTGAAGACCCGCCATTTTGAAAAGGGTATCGCACCGATGTTCCCATGGTGCATTGCGCAAAGGACGACACAGTACTGCAGTGTGCCCCGCATGCGCAGTACGCGCTACCTGTCAATCTGACAGAGCATGACGCGTGCATATTTCAAAGATATAGACATATAGGAAAAAGGGTATCCGTGTATCATACACTCGTCTCGTGAATCGTGAAGCTTTTCAAAAGTTCGGCCCACTTCGCCGTCTGATAGTTTCTGAACGCCCTCTGTATCAAAACCGCCGCACGGAACTCTCGTTCCCTGCGTGCCGTGGTCGTCACCACGACCTCGTTCACTCTCGTGGGAAACGACTTCTTGAACGTGTCCTCCATTTGATCCATGATCTCTCCAAACTCGTCCGTGTTTTCCACGTCTCCCCACAGGCGCTTGTACGTGAAGGTGGTCAGCTCTTTCAGGACGTCTATACAGTGGACACGGTCCCCACTGACCAGGGGGATGTCCAGCGTCTGAAGCTTGATATTATTCGGTTTACGCAATCGAAGTGGATCGTCTAGTTCGTCCACGAGGTCAGTTAATAGTGTATAATCAATAAACTGCGTGGCATCAGGATCGTATCTCTGCCACACCATGTAGAAGGACTCAAAGTCGTCTTCGGTGATCCCGACGTGTTTTTGCTCCTGAGCCTGGTTGAAGCCCTCCAGGCCCACTGCTATGTACATGTTCCTTATGATCAGAGAGCTGACCATGATGTAGCTCACGAGGTACAGCGCGGGGATGGTGGTGCCGCTGCACAGCCCGTCGTGCGTCGGTTCGCTGGTGTCGCAGTATTTCATCAGCGGCTCCAGGATGTCGTTCCACCCGGCTGAGGTCGTCAGGCGGAAGAGAAGCATCATGGACCGCCCGAACGTCTCAAAATTGACGATCTCGTCCAGCATGCCTTCGTGATGCACGTGCGTGAAGGAGACCATCCCCATGATGCTGAAGATGAACATGACGATGAGGAGGAGGATACAGATGTTGAAGAGCGCCGGGAGGGAGATGAGCAGCGCGAACAGGAGGCGACTGATCCCCTTGGCCGCGCGGATAAGCCGCAGTACCCGCCCGATACGGAATATGCGAACCACCCTCAGTAGAGTCGGCGTCAGAAACCTGCTCTTCAACACATCCTCCAGAAGAAAACCTGTTGGAAGATTGATTTCTTTATTAACAACGCTCGAAATGAGTTGTCTATTCAAACTTCTAAAATTTATCCCAATTTCTCTAAACTGACAAAGAAAAAGCATATTCTTCTTTAAACTACCTAAAACCCACAAATTTTTTGAAAAGTTGGGACATTACGTCTTCCATGGTTTACAAAAGAGAAGTCAAACCCTTCATAGTTTTAGATATAGCTTTGTAGATTTTGAGGTTATTTTGTTATTTACAATTAGCCTTCGGGCAGGAATTCCAATAAACATATCACTGTATTGAATGAATGAAGGCTTTTATTGTACATTTTGCCCCACCGGGCTAAGCACAGGTTAACAGTCTTCTACAATGTATACTCATGCTGTTAACCAACTGTACTAACACACAAGCAAACACATTCACAAACACAGACACACACACGAGAACACACACACACACCACACACACGCACAAAATGACCTTCCATACAAGAAAGTAATGATGTTTAGAGTTAAAACTTTTGATCTAACAAAAAAAGTTCTCTCATCTAGAGCTTTTGACCGCGACGGGGGTCGATATCGTCTACAAAATACCATTGACCCAGTGTTGGCGTCACTCGTCAGAGAAGCCACGTGACAAGCCTCACTGGGTCAGTCTACTGAGGAAGGCCAGAGTTACTGGTCGAAAGCTCTAGGTAAGAGAACTTAACTCTAAACTTGTAACCACCAACACAGATGAACTTTCATAATAAGAAGGTAATGACTTGCCTAGAATAGACAGAACAACTATGCAGAAATCAAAAACGTTCCACGGTAACCGGAAGTACTGGTTCCCCATCCCAATCAGCTTGACGATGGCTTCCAGCGTGAACAGGCCCGTGAAGACGAGGTTAATGACCCAGAGGACATGCGTGATGACCTCTGTCTGCCGGTAGTGTTCTATTGCCATGGCAACCATGTTTAGCCCGATAGCTCCCATCACCGCTATTTCCATCTCCTTACTGAGGGCGAAATCAAAGATGGCGGCCCTCCACCTTATCTGAAAGTAAGGTACATACAAGTGTTTTAAGCATTTAAAAATACTATAGACCTACAAAACATGCAAAATATTCTGGATGAGGGAATCTGTGACATTTATTCCAATTTCTAAGCGAATTTTTGGCATCGTTTCAAAGTTGAGGTGTCTGGAACAGCTAAAAAAACAAGCCATGCGGGGATTTCCTTTATTTTCTGATACCAGCAATGAAATGGCTAGAACCGTCCTACTACATGCAACAAGCAATTGTTTCCGTCAGTGACATCGCATTTTTGCCTAGGGACTAGGGGCGCGCGTCCTTCGGATAGGAATAAGTATAGGAAGAAACTGAGCAAAAACAGTATGTTTTCCTTCTGCGAAGATTTAAACAATAAACCCACAATGCGAATAGCCATACCTTTGGACGACTGACGATTTTCTGAGGCTTCTTGTCGCTGAGTTTCCGCAGCGTGTTGTAGTACTTCTTCTGGTTGGACGTCAGGAATATGTCCAGGTACCCCTCACCTTCGTACTGGGAACATAACGATATATTATTATATTTTTCGTTATTAAAATATATTTTTGGTCTCAAGCTTGTCCCTATATAGGCCTGTGCCCGCATAAACTGCTACAGAGTGTTCACAAGTAATATCAGCCTCTACCAAGCTTCAGAAGTGGCTAGAAAGAATAATACATTTTTAGCTTAGCGGACCAACTCGCCTGGCATCTTATTTGTCTATTTGACCAATTTCTTTTCTTTCCAGCCGCATCTGAGTACCGATAGAAGGTACATGTACATGTCGATACGGAAAATATTGTAACTGGCTGGAAAAATGCTTCATTCTAATTGTTTGAAATAAAAAAAACCCGTCGGTGGCGCAACATTAATTGCGATGGACTCGGAACAATTATAGGTCTCAGGTTCGATGCTCACCATGTCCAGATGGTGTGTCCTTGGGAAAGGCACTTTACACTACCTTTCCTACACTGACGGTTAGACAGATTACCCTACTGCGCTAATTTGTGTAAAGGTGTGCCTAAAACACTACGGATTTGATGTGCCTATGTGCCAACATCTGCACATTTGCCACCAAGAGCGGTAATTTTTTTAATGCCCACCTTCCTCTTGAGTGAGTTAAAGTTGTCGATGATGGCGCCGATGAAGAGGTTGAGAGTGAAGAAGGAACCAAAGATGGCGAACACGACGAAGTAGATGTACATGTACGGGTTGGCCTCACGTGACGGCTGCATGTCAACCTGGGCATAATTAAACAAAATTAAAACAGTTTAGCATGAAATTAAAGTTCATCGGAGTTGGTAAATTACATACTGAGAAATAAACTGTTCAAAACTTAAAGGATTTCACGGAATTCAAAGGAAGTTGTGCCTTAATATGTCACTCTTCGTCAGCTCCCTGACCTAAGCACTGTAGACATGTGGTTTTTTTTCCACACGCGTGACGTCTGCACTGGTTCAAAGTTCCTCGGAAGTCGGTACCGCCCCCCGTCTCGGTTGAGAGAGGGGCGGTACCAACTAAGAGATTCAGTCGAAAATCTCTGAGAGTCAAATTTTATGAGTTGTAGAACAGTGTATTTCTCAGTATTATTATACGGCTTTTTCAAACTTATAACAAAATATAACAACTGACAAATACGTAGATATAACTTGCAACGTACACCCAGCTATAACCTTGCATGTATGGCTTGTACACGGTGCTATATTGGCATTTGGAAAAAAATAGTCTGCCAACTTTAAAAATGAGAAGTATTGAAGACATACTAGTATACTATTCTCCAAGCCTTATCCTCTACCATATGGATACCACCAGCTTCAAGTTAAGAGTAAACTACTATATCAACGCTGAAGTTGTCCGATAAGTTGCGATCGCTTTAGATATTCCAAATGAAATTTGTGCTAATCTTATCTAACAAACTATCAGTACGCAATGATATATGTCCCATAAAGCCTTTGGGATAACGATCGTTGACAACGACATTGATCTTGCTCGAAAAGCATCCGCACTAGTGCAAAAACCATTCAACGTTTTCCCATCCCCATGATGCTTTGCGACGGTGGGGGGTAAATCAACCCTGGTTGCATAGCGCAGGAAGGTATCCTGTTGACGTAGGGGCATTATATGCTCAACATTAATTGACTTACTATGGGTCGATCTGACAGTAGATGAATTTTTTTGTTCTTTTTAACATGGGACATGTGGTTTGTAACGCTACAGTGGTAACGCTATACCGTCTGTCAATAGAAAAGGAGATACAAGTAAAATATTAAAGGAGCAACCTTCATCGTTTTAGATTCTGTCATTAACGAATGTAAAAACACCACAGAAACACATAATTCAGATCACATGGCGCTATGCAACCTGGGAATTTTACTCCCATGCACAATGCATCCTGGGAATGGGAAAAGGTGTTTGGGAATGGGAAAATAGTGTAAAAACGTACAACACTGGAACACATACTAGTAATTTAGAGCACATGGCACTATGCAACCTGGGAATTTTTACTCCCACCCTCCCTCCGACGCAACGCACCCTGGGAATGGGGAAAATGGAAAATGCCCCCTCCCTCCGGAACCCAGGTCGACCATGTTTGACGCATTGCAGAAGACGATAAGAGCTCCGCACGGAAACACACGAGAGCGCAGCTATCGATTTGTGATAAGCCGGCATCAGTTACCCCCTCCCTGCCAGCTCAACATCCATCACAATTTTCATCATTTAGTTCAGCAAAACCGCTTCTCTCCTTACATGTGCGAGGTGAGGATCAGTGTCTTATCACAGAAAACATGCGAGGTAAGCTGCCGGAAATTCCAGGAACGCGCTTTACGTGAATTCGACATGATGTATATTATAATTCCTGAATTCTAAGTAGTACATATTGAGCTACATGATATATATAGCGAGCTTGTACCATCAATATCGACGTTATTATAGACCAGGGTGATTTTATACAGTAAAAGGTACTGGCACATGATATATGTAGCTAGGTTGCACCATTAATATTGACGTTGTTATAAACAAGGTGATTTTATAGAAAAAGGGCACTTGTATCCTTTCTATGACCTGTATACAAAATGCCATGAAAAATCGATACTAAAAGTGGCAAAATATAGAAGATTTATGATTCTTCACATTGATTTATGTTTGATGCAATCTTATATCACATGATTTCTTTAGATATATATATGTTGATATCTATTGAAAAAGGAAAATGATAAATGTAGTTATTAAGATAAGGAGCAAATGTGTACTGACCCCTCTGACGTCCACTGCATCATGCATGATCTCTATCCAGCCTTGAAAAGTAGCCTGGGGAATAGACAGAGCATTCCGTTTAGAAACTGCGCCTATATGTATATGACGGTAAAAATATAGAAACCTTGGTAACATGGAAAAATATCTATATTCACGGGCAATACTGCTGGGCATGAGTCTGCTTTCTAATTTAGTCACGAGTATAATATTACAGCATTTACAGCGAAGAAAATTTCAGGAAGAACACAGAGGCATTAATTGCGTTTGTGCACCAAAATTTATGTAAAATATTTTCTTCAGATCTCAAAGAATGTTTAGACCTTAGAATCGGTAGTTAGTGTAAACTGTGCGTTCTACTCATCGTGTTGATTCATCCAAATGTTTTTCATCCGTGTATTTAGAATACCTCATGAAAGTCACTGTACTTGTGTCTATAAAGATTAATTATATCACGTTACATGTATATTTCTTATGTGTCGAAAAAAAAGGGCCAGGGACCGTAAAGTTAAGCTTGGAGACAGCTGACAGAGGAAGCATGGGGCCAGTTACTGGCCTAAGCACTTAGGCAGTAGGCAGGCATATCGACACGTACCACTTGGAAGAGTGCCAATAGGGCCGCTCCCACGTTATCGAAGTTGACCTTGGAGTTGATCCAGGTGAAGTTTCCGCCGAGGCAGGCCGTCTTGTCGTTGATGAGCGTGGCAGGGATCCGCTCTCCCTCGTGGTCCAGGCACTTGAAGAACTGCCCGGAGAAGAGCTGGACGCCCATGATGCCAAAGATGAGCCAGAAGACCACGCAGACCAGCAGGACGTTGAAGATGGCGGGCACGGCGTGCAGGAGGGCGCTCACCACCACCTGTCATAACGGCCAGATATGGTGTCAGAAGTGGGATGTGTGGGAAATATCACTCCCTCCCTCACTCCCTCCCTCTCACACACACACACACACACACACACACACACACACACACACACACAAACAAACAAACACACAAACACACAATGAACAGTAGACCACAGCTTGACATTACGTCCTAGATATTGCTACCATTTTCTATGAGGGACAACATCCGGGATTTGAACTCCCTACCATCAGTTTGCTTTATTACATGGTGTCAGAAGTGGGATTTGTAAAAAAAATACCATACGCACATGATGTCAACATCTTCTTGACAGATAGTAAGGATTATTGAATATGTGTGAACATTAATGAAAAAAGATTGCTCACCCTCATACCCTGCCACCTGGAGATAGCCCTTAGAGGCCGCAGTGCCCGGAAGACTCTCAGAGACCTCACTGCCGACAGGTTAGCCGACTTGGTGGTAGATTCAAGAGCTATGCTGAACAACGAAACCTTCAAGCAAAACATTGTTGCAAAAATCAAATACAGACAGTATATTTCAAACGTCACTAACATTATATATCCTAGCACTTTTCCCATGTCGTGTGTCCATGAAATATCCCTACGTGTAACAGTAGAATATTGTTGTACATGTTTCTCTGAATTATTTTGAGTGGTACAAAATCCTTACAATGAATGCTTGAACAGGGAATTTTTTCACAGCCACTTGTTCAATATTTCGATGACAGCGTCTTACCTTCACGAGGTCAATTTTATGACTGGTTTACAGTGCATTGCAGCTAGGTGTTACCATGGTTCACTGTGCACTGAAGCTAGCTGTTACTGCTGGCAATGCGGTCCTAATAGCTGCCTTCATTGCACAGTGAACCAATCATAATTGCCCTGATGAAGATGACAGACCGTCATCGAAAAGTTAAACAAATGGTTGTGAATAAAGAACTTTGCTATTCAACCAATTGGATTGTGCATGAAGTGTGTAAGGCATATGTAACTTTTATTATAACAGACAAATCTACTTTTGATGTATTAACATACATGAATGTTTAATATCTCAGCGGTGTAATTGTATTTTTGCTATATGTATGCGCGTGTGTCTAGCATATTGCGATATGTCAAAGAGTGTTCTATGTGTTTATCGTGGTAAACAATCTCGTTATCCCTTGGCAGAACAGTATAACAAGCAGATACAGACAAGAAAGGTGAAGAAGTCTAGCGTTGCAGATGTGTAGAAGGAGGCATAGATAGTAGAAACACACATACGTACCCTATAGCGAAGTGTCTATTTTTATTACATCAAGTTTGACATGACACACAGCCACAACAAACCTCTGAAACAAGGCCAGAAGTGACAAAGGCGGCAACACGCACAGTTGGCAGGGAGTTTGCAACAGAAAGAAGAGTAAATAAGATTTGAAAGCAAAAGTCTTACCAGTACAAGAAGCGAGACAACTGGGGTATACATACGGGTAGACCTACCGCAACCACGACACAGTCAAGAACACACCAGCCATTGGTGAAATATTTGACAAAGCCGTAGGCTATCCATTTTAGAAGCATCTCTACGAGGAAAATAAAAGCAAAGATGATATCCAGGATGTCCAACACCTTCTGGAGGGTCGGCCTTGTTTCCAGGTAGATGTCATCGAATGCCTGCAAAAGAAATAGGCTGAAGAATAACATACTTTTCAATATGCTTTAAAATCTAAGCTATATTCTTCATTTCTGAAAACAGATTCCTGTAGATCATAGTCACAATTTGAAATAATATTACCAATCAACAAGTCATCATTATCATTATTATGATTACTATTACCAATTTGCAAGTTGGAAACTAAGCTGTTGATAACAGGACACTTCTATATAGAGCTACACAAGAATTATACACACTTACCAGTAATATACTGCTGGCTAGGATGACGACTAAGATAAATCCCTCAAAGATGTTATTGTCGACGATCTTGAGAGTCTTTAACCTGAACTTGGCCCAGTGTCTCCCGAACTTGCTCATACTAAACTTCTTCCAACACCGAAGCCTCATGAAGACTGAGGGAAAACAGTCCTGTACGCTGTGTTCGCTCTTGTCCGACACAAGGGACAACTTGGTGTGAGTTCTTTCGTGCAGGAACTTTAGCAGATTCTTTCTGTCGACTGTTATGACGTTGTCGTCCTTCTGCTTCTTAGGGTTTCTGCAGCTGTTGAAGAGACCGTTGAGGCCGAAGATCTCCTTAAGTCTCTTCATCCCGTCTTGGATGCTGTTGGTGTTGTTCTCAAAGCTGCTGAGTTCCTCCGAGGCAAAGGAGCTCAAGAGCATCGCGACAAACAGGTTCAAAACCTGAAACAAATATTGGAGGCATTAACTCTCATTATCATATAGCTCCGTGACGTCGACCAATGAAAAGCCACCATTTTCCATTGGTTATCACGCCGGAACATCATAACTCACGTGCATAAGTGGTGAATTATGAAAAAAGTGTATCAGAATCCGACCACTTTAAGACAGTACATATAATACCTCGCTGCGCTCACTTGGTGGTTTATTGCACCTGACCAGGGGTTATCTCACTATATACACCTCGGGGCGGGGCATTAGCCCTTCATTCTATCTCCGGAGCGTTCGTGTTAGCATTGAGTGACCCAAGAGGGGAAAATACTTGTTAGAGCACAGTTTACCAATTGCAATCAGAGATGTGCACAAGATTTGGTGACGTTATACAAACTCACCACAAAGTTCCCGACAGCCAGTGCGGCCACGTACATGATGACGCAACCGTACCCTGACACGGCCATGCAGTCGTACAGCGGCTTGACCCAGTCTCCGCACAGGACCCGGAACACCATCATGAAGGAGTGGTGAAAGTCCACAAAGTTCCACCTAGGAACCTCCTTCCCAGGTAACCTAGGTAAACACACAAGATAAACAAAACAAAGAAGAATATTTAAGTCCAGTAATGCTGGCTTATCCCAAATATCAATGCAATAGGTCTGTAAACAAAGAACCTATGGATCTTCCAGATTTTTGTCATAGGTATGCTCTATTTACAATCATAGGTTCATTGTCACAAGCTGTTTCAGTTTAGAATCCTAGTAACGCCAAGTGCTAAATGTATAACGCTTAAGAGGCACAACATATACTAAATGTATGAAAGACAATAAATTTGGAATGTATATTGAATATATAACATAAAACATACCCATGACTACCAATGTATAGCATATGCTAAATGTATAACACATACAAAACATACCCATAACTACCGATGTATAACATATACTAAATGTATAACACATTATACATACTCGTATCTACCAATGTATAACATATACTAACTGTATCCAAAAAAATACTAATACAAATTCTCGAATTTATACTGTGCAAAACAATAACAAAATCATCTCTTGAAGGATGCTACCTTAAGTAGTTGTCTTTGTAATCCTGGCCGAACATCTGCATGCCCAACACACTGAAGATGTAGATTATGACGACTAGTAGGAACGTAAGGCCCCCTACGTCCTGGATGCTGTTAGTGATGATGGTCAGGAGAAGCTGCATGGTCGGCCATGACTTAGCCAGCTTCAACACTCTTGTCACTCGTGCCTAGATGACATGATAAGGTAAAAGAGGGGCTCTGCTCTGTCAATGCTTACTCAAACACATTCATATATATGACGACAGCAGTTTAAATCCCTCCTTCTGTAAAATTGCAACATGGTGTAACCCAACACCAGTTACCATGATCACAGACGAGGAAGACGAAGAAGAGGAAGAAGTAACAGAGCAGAAACAATATGTTTTCCTTCGGTAAACATAACTACGTAACTTAGCTAACTTTATCACTCTGTCATGAGCTCAGTTGATGTATACATAGAATCAATACATATAAACAGAGGGAGTAAGAGGGAGAGAGAGAGAGAGAGAGATTATGTACTGACCAATCTAAATGAGCGCAGTACCGACAGCCCTTCTACTCCTTCTAGTCCCCACTCTATCAGACTGATGAACACGATGCAGCAGTCAAAAACATTCCAGTAGTCCTGAAAAACAAGCACTTTACTCAATTGATGTTCCAGAAAACAACTTTTTGAGTGAACCATGAATGAAAGTTGTTTCTCAAAATTAATTACATTGATAATATGTAGTACTAATTAACTACCAAGGTAGAACATATACTTAATGTATAAAACATCAAAACATACTCGTGTCTACCAATGTATAACATATACTAACATTTTTTAAAGGGTCATTCATGCAGGAAATTTGTTCTCCTTATCAAAATTAATTACATTGATAATATGTAGTTCTAATTTGTTCACCCGGACTTATTAGACACAACTCTAAACTATAAAACCTTCAACATTAATAGGAGGGTTTATAGTTTATGCCTACATTTTGCCATTAACGTTTCCAACTGAGGTGTAACTAAATCATAACCAATTTTATAACTCACCTGAAAGTACTTCTTTGGAGTCCAGGCCATCATCTTCAACAGCACCTCTGCCGTAAAGATCGCCGTAAAAATCTAGGAAAAACAAAAATTGAAGCCTCGTCATTACAGATTTCTCATTACGTACTATGTTGTATTATCACTTCAAATCACTTTGGTACATATATTCTGTCAACGATACGAACATCTCGCATGGCACGAGAATCTCGCATGACACGAGAATCTCGCATGGCACGAGAATCTCGCATGGCACGAGAATCTCGCATGGCACGAGAATCTCGCATGGCACGAGATTCTCGCGAAATCACGTCACCGCCCACGCACATCTCGCGGTGTTTCGTCAGTGACGCACACCCACCTTGTTCCCGTCGTCTAGAGTTTTCGCCAAGCTTTGACTCATCCCGTGATGGTCCACCGCCAGGAACCCGGTGTTGATGAGGATACAGATCATGATGAGGAAGTCGAAGAGAGGATCTGACACCACCCTGTCCACGTAGTGCTGAAATTTGCTCCAGCAGCTAGAGGAACAGCAGACCCACTCACAGCAGTAGTCAAACAAGAAGGACACACACTTCTCCTTCTTTATCCTCAAGGCCTGGCAGGACTTTCCTTCAGTGGATTCGTCTAAAATGAAAATATTCCGTAAATCAAAAATACGAACTACAGTAGGTACATGCCTTATCATTGTCATTGTCTTCAGTCTTTGCGTTCACCAAGAAGATTATGTTTTCAGTGGCGTCCGTGTGTCTGCCTGTCTGTGTATCTCGGTTTGTGAGTGTGTAAGGATAACTCGAGAAGGCTTGGCTGAATTATCTTTTTGCCCCCCTGGGGACTTTTTAGGGTACTGCAGCGAGATTTAACTTCATGCAAATGACAATGTTATTTTTGATCTCTACTTGATCTACTTTGATCTATCCTTGAACTCTAGTGTTTATTTTGTTTTTTTACAATCTCTGGGGAAGGATTTCCAAATAAGGTCCAAATAAGGTCACAGTAGGTAAATTTTATGGATGACATCAGCGCGCACATTCATTTTTGATCGATTTTGGAAAAAAACTTAAATTTTTGTTGCTCTCTGACAGTTTTCAACATGAGGAAAAGTACTCTAGCAATACACCAGTCTAGCAGTCACCAATCGTGCCATAAACAATTGGCTTTTGTTTTCGTACCAGGGTGTATTCTTCGCCATTCCAGCCAGGTGGCGTAGGTGTATCATCCATATATAATAAGTCCATTTTAGATTCAGCTGCTTATTGACAATATCAATACATTTCAACAGTAAAGACCATAAAATGACCCTTAGCTATTAATCTCCTAGTTTTTGGTTGTCAGACATTTTTTTTATTTACAATTCAACATGGACAATACAAGACATGGTGGTGAGGTACTCTAGCTATAGTTAATTACCACCAAACATACAAGTATACAGTGACAAAATACTACATGAAAAAAAACAACAGAGAACAGCAAATGGGTGGAAATGGATCAATAAATGGTAAGGAAGAATCGTGTTTTGTAGGCTATGTAGGAGTTAATCTAATATAAATCGTTTAGTATCAATAACGTAAGTTTGGGTGATTGTCAAAATGTTACAGTTTGTATCTGGGTGTAAATCGGGTGATCCTCTAAGTAAAATGTTACATAAGAATTGTTCAGACATTTTGTGTACATCAAAGATAGAGCCACTGCATGTTTTGTGTTTCCTTCTTTATTTCTATGCAACAGCAGTACTTCTATATCGTGCAAGTCACGAGTCCTGGGGCTCACAGAAAGCAGGGCAGGTTTCCCAGAGACTTGTGACCTCAAATGTTATTTCTAACAAACCCATTACCCAATGACAGACCACAACGAGGCTTCCCCAAAAGCATGATACATGTTGTAGAGCCATACAGACAATAACCCTACCAACAAAAACCGTCGCCGTGTCAATGTATGTTTTCATTGCCAGTCTTGTTGTGTTTCCTTCGTTCTTTTTATGCGACAGCAGTACTTCTATACCGTGCAAGTCACGACTGTCTGGAAACGCTAAGCTGGTAAAATGCGGGCTTGAAAGGATCATCAATTTGCTACGTTTTACTAGTCACTTCTGACAGAGCCCGGCAGCAGAAACGGATCCCAGGAGACACATTCAAAATAGTGTAGAACACCAGATGAATCCTTATGCCTACTTGCCTACGTGCACAGGCCAGGTACTGGCCCCTTGCTCCCCTTCGTCCGGTTTCTCCAGCCAGCTCTATCAAGGGCAATAGTCTCTGCTTCCCTTGGGGTAAGCCCTGTGTCACTCTGAATCTGGCCTTTCCACCTCTTGGGTGGTCTTCCCCGGGGTCTGGGGTTTTTGAACTCCTGGTGGTATGTCTTATAAACTAAGGTGTTTGATGGCTCTGATTTATTGTTTTATCTTTTAGTTTGATGCAGTGATGTATTCCATTACTTTTACATGTGATGTTCCCAACTTCTCAATGAATCAAAATCATTTGTACAATGATTGAAAACTTTTATTTTTTAGTGACAATGGACGTTGTTACAGTTGGCAGCAAACCTAGCAAAGCATATGTATCATTTCTTGTTTAACAAGGTTTATGATGTCAAAATTTGAAAATTAAAATCTTGGTTGTTTTCACCCGCCTTGTTTTTTATCGCCCTATAGCATTAGATTTGGAGTCTGTGGAGGATGTCATCCGTAAAATTTACCTGCGGAGGCCTAATGCGAAAGTTTGCCATCTTGAGCAATTGGCAGAAGGAAAGCTCTTTGAAAAGAGAATTGACGGACGACAGGTATTTTCGGTAATACCCCTGACATTTTGGGAGAGGGCAAGAACGCCTTTAGACTTTTATTCACAGAAAAAATGTGCCCTTTGCAGTGATTTATCAGAAACTGCTTTATCTTCAACCGTGCAGTGTTGGTAAAACCCATCTTTCTAAGCGTTATATATCTTTATACTCTATTGGGTGATTTCAGAGGACGAAAACATGGAGCAAGACTGTCTGAATTCCTGTTATCTAAGTCTTTGAAAATCAATAATTTTCACCCCAAAACAGTTACTTAAGCAACTGGGTATGATTTTGAAAGTTGCTTGAGTGACTGTCTGCATGTCTAACCCTCACCGACGTATCAATAATTTAATCACGATGTTTTGATCGCTTTTTGAAGATATTGGTCCATTGGGGAAGTTTTGCCCGTTACTTTCCTTTGAAAGTCCTATTATGTTCAGAATATATAGGCTAGCCACGCTACGGGGATGTTACAAATCCCGCCATTTACTCCAGCCTTATCTGAATGGCCATGCGAAACATTTTTCCTGGAAAGAAATAGTATTTTCCAGGAATGTAAGAAAAGGAGGCAGATATTACCGCTTATGATAGCAGATATTCTCGCCTTGAAGATAAGACTACAGTGCTTGAAGGCTACATGGCCGTGACCTATGACTTCTGAATATGAAACAGGCTTTTAAAACATATAGTGTGTGTGTGTGCGCGCGCGCGCGCACTTGTTGTGTGCATGTGTGTATCAGTGTGTGTGTGTGTGTGTGTGTGTGTGTGTTTCTGTCAGTGTAGATGTGTGTGTAGACATGTAGATGCGTGTGTGTGTGTGTGTGTGTGTGTGTGTGTGCCCGCGCGCTCGTTTGTGTGTGTGTGTCTGTGTGCGTTTGTGTGCGTGTGTGTGTGTGTGTGTGTGTGTGTGTGTGTGTGTGTGTGTGTGTGTGTGTGTGTGTGTGTGTGTGTGTGTGTGTGTGTGTGTGTGACTGTCACAGCACGAAAACAGATATTTAAGCAAAATTTACGACATCCGTATTGAGACTTTAAAGACAGGGAAATATTTAAGCAGACTTTAAGATCGATTAAAGTGTACTGAAAAAGAAATCTAATCTTTACGAAGGATTTTCGCAGTTGTAAATGTAACGTATTACGGCATGTTTCTTTACGCACGGTTTACAGATACTGAAATATTCAGTTACGACAAACATGTTGAACATGTCCCAGAAAGGTACAGGAAATGTTTTGTATTTCTGTTTCAAAACTTAAGTCAAATTTGAAACATGAGTAAATCTATCAGGTATATTTTTATTTTTTTTCTACTCACAATTTAAAGCAAGACGGAAAAGACGCCGCGTTAATTATCGAGAGCCTGTGCCTAGAACTCTGTTTCCTTTCAACGCCTGACATGAGTTGTAGCAGACCTTGGTGCACGCAAATATACAAATTTTTATGTTTTCATAGCTTACCAACAAACATATGATGTGTTTAATCCTCCTCTCCGCACACTTTCAGTGTACGGTGGGCAGACTTTCCCTCTTTAGCTTATATGTTCCCAAAAGTTATATGAAAGCTAGCATTTATTCAACAAATATACGACGCGTTTAATCTTTCTCTACGCACGCTTTAAGCGAACGGGGGGAAAACCTCCCCCCTTTAGCTTATATGCTCCCGAAAACAATATGAAAATGTAGCGTTTATTCAACAACAATACAGCGACAATACGACGTGTTAATCTTTCCCAACGTGCATTTTAAGTGATATGTTCCCAAAAGCTATAGATGATATGTAACGTTTTTTTTTCAACAAACATACGACGTGTTTAATCTTTCCCTACTGGTATTCTAAGTGAACGGGGAGGTAACTCCTCCCCTTTAGCTTAATATTTTCACAAAAAACTATATGAAAGGTACGTTTATTTAACAAATATACGACGCGTTTAATCTTTCTCTACGCACACTTTAAGCGAACGGAGGGAGAACCTCTCCCCTTTAGCTTATATATGTTCACGAAAACAATATGAAAGGTAGCTATAGTGTTTATTCAACAAATAAACGACGCGTTTAATCTTTCTCTACGCACGCTTTAAGTGAACGGAGGGAGAACCTCCCCCCTTTAGCTTATATGATCCCGAAAACAATATGAAAGGTAGCGTTTATTCAACAACAATACGGTGACAATACGACATGTTTAATCTTCCCCAACGCGCAGTTTAATTGATATGTTTCCAAAAGCTATGGATGATATGTAGCGGTTTTTTGTTCAGCAAACATACGCTGTGTTATATCTTTCCCTACGGGTATTTTAAGTGAACGGGGAGGTATCTCCTCCCTTTAGCTTATATGTTAACAAAAACTATATGAAAGGTAGCGTTTCTTTAACAAATAAACGACGTGTTTAATCTTTCTCTACGCACACTTTAAGCGAACGGGGGGAGAACCTCCCCCCTTCAGCTTATATATTCCCAAAAGCAATATGAAATATAGCGTTTATTCAACAACAATAAGGCGTGTTTAATCTTTCAATACGCGCATTTTAAGTGACGTCGGCTTATATATTCCCAAAAACTCTATGAAACGTTGCGTTTATTCAATAAACATACGACGTTTTTAATCTTACCTTACGAGTTCTTTAAGTGACGTTAGCTTATATGTTCCCGAAAGCAATATGAAATGTAACGTTTATTTCACAAACATACGACGTGCTTAATCTTACCTTACACGTACTTTAAGTGAAGTTAGCTTATATGTTACCGAAAGCTATATGAAATATAGCGTTTATTCAACAAACATACGACATGTTTAGTTTTTCCTTACGTGCATTTTAAGTGACGTTGGCTTATATATTCCTAAAAGCTCCATGAAACGTAG